CTCCAAAAGAAAAAAAAAGGAACATTTTTCCAAAACAAATTATGATCTTAACCACAAATGTAGCAGACTTTTAAGAAAACAATGAAAAAGAACAGATTCTTGTCTTTCCAATCATAAACTATGATACACCATCAATTTTTATTAATTGTCAATACCGGTAACTAAAAATTTCAATCAAATAACAATTTTTAAAAACCTAGTATACAATAAAACAAGAAATTTAAGAGCCTGCAGAAGCATGTTCTGTGAAATGAAAGAACAAAGCAATACCAAAAATTGTGCAGAGTCCAAAAAGAAAGTGCAGTTTCTTATTCATCACAAGAATCACAATTCTTCAATGAAAAGCTTGAGGCCAGCAGACCAATCCGGCTTTGTGCACTACAGAGCATACATCAAGTAACTCTACCAAACCTATAGTAAGAGAGACCTGTAGAGCAACCTATTTATACTCAAACCACTAATCATCTAATCATGTTCAAACGCTAAATGCCGTTGTCTTTAGACTGCTTTAGAATATGACATGCAAAATGTATAAACAAGGAAATATAGCAATGACCGGAATGTTTTGTAGATTAATAAAAATACAACTCTTTGGATATTACAGTGCCCCAACGCAAAATGTATTAATTGCTCAACATCCTTTTTATGTGTATTCTCATTAGACTAGAATGGATTGTTTTTAGCTGTCTTATTTGGAAATTCTGATCAACTACAATCAATCTGAGATAAACAATAGATAAAATAGAGATGTGGGAAGTGTCTGCACTCTTACCTTCAGAAAAGAGATAAAGGACAAAAACTGCTATACAAAAGGAATAAGTGAGTCTGCACATGAACAATTACAATAGCTCATATCTTTACAATGTATCTGACACCAAAGATAAGAAACAATAAAATGGGACATTTTGGAGACTTTTTTGGCCCAAACATTAGGTGAATGATGGACTGTAAATGGTTTTTGTCAGCACCAACACAATTTAGATCATAAAAAGTAACTTTTATTCAATCAACGTCTAATTACGTCACAGAAGCTCTCCTTGTGCAGAAGCCGCAAAAAAGCTGACAATAGTCAATACTGTACTTAATCAACCTTAAATTGCTTTCTTGGTTATTTCATTCCCCAAAAAATTAATGCTAAACTAAACTTACTCCTTTTTAAATTTTAGACAAACCAGTTCTGAGAGACGATAGCACGAAATTGAAGTAATGTAAAAAAAGTTATACTTTATGTCTCAAAAACAGAGGTGCTATTAATTTTTAATTTCTATATGCTGTCATTGCTTTTTACTTTTATCTAACCTGCATCAGATTTTTACCATACTATTCTGTTCTTTGGACAAGGTAGATAAAGAAAATGAAAAGAACTCAAATTTGAACAATAGCGACATTGTTGAAGCAAGCTGCTTGAACTCTGCCTGCGTGGTCCAACCCCCAGCTGAAAGACAGAAATACTTTATACAATATCTTACACACATCAAATCACATCTTTGGTGCGCAAGGCAAAGAACCTAATCATGGCACCCAAGATGCCAGTCAAAAGCTTTCTTGGCTAGCGGGACCACAAAAAGTAATTTAAAGTAGGCAATCTCATGATTTAAACATTTTCGTAACCATCATTCATCAGTTAGTATGCACATTCTCTCCAAATGCAGAGCAATAACGCATGACAACAGGGAGTGAATCCAATCTTGTGTAAATGACCCAAATCCAAAGAATATCTGCAAACAGGTCAGTCAAGTCTTTTATTACTACTTGCCTTCTGACAGAAAAACACCCTAAAAGATACCAAAATACAGACTTTTCAGGCCAGGCAAAAGGTATTTTGTAAAATCAAAGCAAAACTAGCTTTTCTTTCTCTGATATCTTACTAAGAGTTTGCTTTACATTTCGGGCACTTGATTACACAAAAGTCGACTAATCATAATTCCCAACAGATCTGTTTAGAAACTATTATCACAGGACTGTGTTGACAAACATTTTTTAACACATTTGGAGATGACCCTGAAAGAATAAACCTAACAACGATGGCAAAAACACACCTGACTTGGGGCAAACAATCAACACTTACCTGAACACAAACAATGTAACACACAGTAAACACAAAACATGGGGGATTTATTTCAATTATCTTTACCAATAAGGACAAAAATCTTATAGAAGAAAGACAATTAGTCAAAAAGAAACACATTACTCAATAAACAATCTCATTTTTACTTTATACAAATTATAAAGCATGCTGGAAAAAACTGAGATACCTGAAGCTAAAAAATGTTCATACTTGATTTTAATAATCATAGTAGGCCTATGCATTAGTAAAAACAGATCAGTAGCAGGATCATCTCATTGAAAAGGACTCCAAGATTCCATGACTGATCATGAGACATCTTTATATATTCCATTTAATATATATATATATATATATATAATATATCAACACACATAGTCAGTTAAAGAATAGTAAAAACCTGAACTCAGTCACTTTAACGCACACATATTCTATCATACAATATTATGCTGCAGCATACTACAATTAGGATCAACCAGAGAGGAAAGAAAACTGTAGGAACAGCAAAGTAGGTGACTGAAAATGTTCTATGCATCCAAAGACAGAATTCGCATCATTTACGTGGCAAGCTGCTTCTACCTTACTTATCAGGCTTAAGAGCCTGTCCATTAAACCACAGGAGCCATCACTACCCCCATGGGATCAGGGGAAAAGAAATAACAAGGTACCATTCTTATAAGTAAACTTCTATATAACACAAACAGCACACAGGTTAGTAACATTATTTCGTTTCAAGCAGTTATAGCAATACTTTTCTATGCAATTCAATGGAGATCCAGTCACTCAATTTTATTGTACAATGTAACGTAGAGTATAGACAATCAGTGTTCCAATCTGGGGGCATCTTTTGTTCTCGTGTACAGATTTTTTACTAATCTTGATGTTCTTTGCAATAAAATTCTTCTTTTTTTAAAAATAATAGCATTACACAGAGCCACTTCTAAGTAATGTACTGATAATATAATGTAGTCCTTTTATGTATGTGCTCTGATCTTTTACACAGTTTCAAATAAAATTTTCCTTTTTCAAAGTTCCAAGCATCACAAAGAGAGGAAAGTAATAAAAAGCACAAAGATAACAAAACACATTAGACAAACACAAACAGAAATGTGTCAAGCACCTAAAACACGGATCACACTGAAAATAGACAGATTTTTATAATAACAGAAAAAATAGTTACATATGTTTGACTTCGAAACCAACATGATGACTTTATCAGGCACGCATGCCACCAGGAAGGCTCAAGTAAAATTTGAGACCATTTTCTAGAAATACAGAAGAACACTAGCAGGAAAACGTCCACAATATATCTCCATAGGTAAAGACATTTGAGACCTTGACACTTATTTGATAAAATTGGCATCTAATATTTAGTTTCAGATATTGGGTAGATCATGTAAGTAGGTCCGCCCCAGGATCAAATAATGGTGTATGCTTTTCACATTCAGACTCAACAGGCCTTGGTTAAGCTTTTCAGTCCCAGTTCCCATGATCATGAAATTAGGGGTTGAGTCCCAATTTAGAAAATAATTGAATATGCCCTGTGTATTTAGTTATCAGTGCTCAGTTTTTATATTTGTCATCAACGAGAACTCCATTTCTTTGTTCACTAGCTATTATTCCATTTCAGCATGGTGTTCGTAGTGAATGCGTCAGTTTTGAGTGCGTTTGTGGGGGAAAAAAGGTAGAATAACTTTTCTTTTCATAACAAGCTACTGTAAACTACAATCAAAGGGGTCTGGTACTCAAAGGGTTAATTAGATTTAGGAGGCATAAGAAGAACAATACAATATTTATGAATACCCTTTTATCTACCTCATCACAGTATCAATCATGTGACGAACTCTGAGTGAGCAGTTTAGGGATGATTGGCTGTACATGATGCTACTGAGATTTCATTCATTGTGATATCCAGCGCTCTAACCCCAAGAGTCAGCATCAAGGAGACAAAACACTTTTGGACTACCCAGATATAAGTGAGAATGCATACACAAACACACACACACACACACATACAAACATAAACACACATACACACACACACACACACGCACACACACACACACACACGCACACAACCACACACATACATGTGTATGTACACACACACACACACACACACA